TCTTTTTTTCTTTTTGATATTTAGGTATCCACCTTATAGTGACTAAATCCTGAAGTCTACACCTTGGCCCCTCAAGCTGCAGACATGTTAAACCGCAGATTGTGCCCCAAACTGACCAGTGCTCAAGAGCCCCTCCAACTGATCTGCCAAAGTGCCAAGCAAGTCGTTTCTCATCTTTGCATCTTGCCTTCCAGTAGAGCTCCTGCCTTCTAGGAGAATATCTGTCTTTCAAGAGCCTTCCAGGAATCGAACTCACGACCTCTGATCTGTCAGCCTTGAAGCGCCCTCATCTTTACGAGTTGCAACTACCCTTGCTTCTTGTATTGAAGGAAGCTAGAGTTAGAGCTTCTCAAGGAAGACATCCTATGTTCGATTGCATAGATATCCAAAAAGATTAGTCTCGAGTCGGACGATGAAGTGTTAGTAGAAATTAGTTGCTTAGGTTTCTCGACCTGATAGACTACACCTTGCATCGATGATATCTCAGTTACTTATCTATGTTCAAAAATTGCATGAGACAATAAGATATTTCATGTTTTTGGATGACTTGGTACAATCTAATTTTTATTGATTATAATAACATAAAAATCTTGTTTTGGTTTGGACCAATAAGATAGATCTGTCCAAGTAGCAAAGCCCTATTGTATAAATTGATATGATAATACTTTTCTGAAAACTTCTATATAGGTCAGTAATACCATTCATATTATAAATTAATAATTGTTAAAAAATCTAATATAATTAACTGTGATATTCTTTGTAATGTCAATATGACTCTACCGTTGCATGTTAAATCTAAAATTTATTGGTATTCAATGATAAATGCACGTGTTAAATGTATTTTTTATAAGATGACAGAAACAAAATCACATATTCTGCTAATTAATTACAATATTAGTAAATTGAAGGACTCAATTTCTATTGAATTGTGTTATGAACAAGCCAGTTACACCTAACCTTCTTTGCCTCCATAAATTAACATCTGTATTAAGCCTTCCCCCTGTTCTTGCTGGTACTGATTTACACCTTGTGAATAGTAAAGGATGCACTACCACTTGGCCTCTTGCATCTTCCTTTGAATCTTGAACATTATTCACTGGATTTTCAGATTCTTGATTTCTTCTTAAATCCAGCATCACATTTTCACAACTGGGCTTTTGTAATTCATGCAGTGATTTTTCTTCAATTTTTGTGTCGTACTCTGTTTCTGTTGAGGCTAATGGAGAACCCCAAAACTGGCATGCTAATGATGAAGATCTATATGGGGCAGAATGGCACCTAGTCAATAGTAAAGCATTTTTTGGTGGTTCAGAATCAAGAAAATCCCTTTCCTTTTCTTGAACTTGAGCTTCAACATTCTTATAATTCATAACAATTTTACGGTCATGGTTCCTTCGGCTTCCTTGGTTCGAATAGTCAACCCTGGAAGAATCCTTTGTTTTATCAACTTTCTTGCAAAACCCAGAGCCAAAACACAAACCCATTTCTCGAAAAGGCCGAGTAGGTCTGTGAAATTTCGATGAAATTATATTATGGCAAAACAGAGTTCTGTTGAGCCACCGGCATGGGCGATTTGCAGTGGCTGAGAAACCACTACTGGGGCGTGGTGATGCGGTTGTTTTGGAGGAGGAAGTTCGAGCTTTAACTTGTCCAAAACAGGTGACTTTTGGAGAAGATGGTTCGATAACTGGCGCTGCATCCTTTTTGCTTCGCATGCGAAACATGGGACTCGAATTGGACCTTCCTCTGCTTCTACTCCCCGCATTGTTCCTCAAGAATCTTATCAATGGCGGCGCAAATTTCTCCGCCCTGCTTGGACTTGATATTGGCTTCGATATACCTTTCATCCTCTCACTGTCTACAAACCAAGCTGTGTCTACAACCAAGAAATGACCTCTTACTTCTTAGCCTATTCTACGTAGTTCTTTACACCATATTTGCCTCTTTTTTCTATCTTCATTCTGGTATGTTGGTTTTATATTATAAAATTTTGCAGGGTTGGATGGAACAGAGACCCATAGACTTTTTAATTTCAAGATTGTATGTTTGTGCTTTGTTTTACTTCAGAGACGTAGTGCTCAAAATGGGAAGTCCCATCCTATTCATCACACATCTCTACGCAGGCTAAGTTCACAGTAAATTCTGATTAGCAGTAATTACTGTGGGATAAATCATTAAAGAAGCTGTACGATATTCTAATCACTTGGAGTTCAGTTTTAGTTTTTACCATGTTGTAAAGTAGCAGAAGTTTGAGGAAGCTGCTTGAAGAAGAAGTGGTTAAGATTTATACATCAACTTTATATGATTGGATATTTGGATAAGTGATCTTTCTAAAGTGAGAAATTATTTCTAACTTTCTGATCCGAGTTATCTTTTTTGGGATCATTCATGAACAATCTATTGAAGTGGACCAGCTATCACTTCTGTATTTATTGATTAATATCGCACAAATTTAAGGTTTAAGATGCATTAATATAAGATTAAACATTTGATTATCAAGGTGGTTTAGCTACAGGGACTATCTTCTATAAAATGCTTCTGTCGATTGCTTTGGACTCAATTTCTTTAGGCTCTGTTTGGCCCAACTTTTTAAAACTCTATTTAAGCAGGCAATCTCCCCAAAAAAAAAAAAAAAAAAAAAAAAAAAAAAAAAAATCACTTTTCATAAAATATCCACCCAACATGAACTTTTATAATATTAAACCCCCGTTGAGATTTTAATACATTTTTCTCTTTTTTTTTTTTCAATCACGCATTGTTTAGTAAAATAATATTATACGTAAATCAAACACTTTTCCTTTATTTTCAACCACTCATTTTCCAAAAAAATTGTTTCTCTAAAAATTAAAATCTCAAATAATGAAGGCCAAACAAGGGCTACAGACCAACTTGGTACTCAATTTCACCAGCCACGATGCAGTTGATTTCGAAGCTGAAAGTCTAATACAAATTGACAAGCACATTAACTAATTACTATTTACGTATATAATCAAATCCCTCAAATTCTTCTAATTTTTCTCGATTCAATGAGAAGGCAACTTTCTCAAAGATATCTCAGGCATTTTATAACGAATTTTGAGGTTGTATCTAGCTTTTTTCATTTTTTCAAAAAATGTGCATATCCATCTTAACCCAGAAGACCGATAAAATTAGACGAGGGATGAATAAACATATTTGATGACTGATAGACCCAAGTTTTTCTATCCAAGAAATGTGCATATCCACCTTAATCAAACTACATTTGATTAATTAAACCTGGACAATGAAGAAACACATTTGATATATTGAACTTATAAAAATAGACACACATCCATAGTCAAGAAAAAAATAAGGTCCCGTTTGTTTCTCATTTTTGTAAGAATGAAAATGAAAAATATAGTCGTTACAAGCCCCACACAAAAGATTAGAATTCAAATTTAGTAGTTTGATGTAATAAATAACGATCATATTTTTCATTTTAATGGGGAAAAAATGGGAAACAAACGGAGGCTAAATGTGTCCTAAATTTCAAATATTAGTCAACCAAGACCCATGTTCTTTCTTCCAAGAATGCTGAGAAAATGTACATCACCTATAAATGCATTCAACAAAAAAGACTGGACATGAGAATTGATACGTAGTACTAAAGAAGAAAGGAAATCCAAAGCTCACTCCGACATTTTAATCCAAATACTAACCGACCAAGGCCCCCTTCTATTATTATTATTATTATTATTATTATTATTATTATTATTATTATAAGATGTGAAAAGCCAATAACCTACCATGGCTCCACCTGTGTTTTCATCTTTTCATTTGCACAAGCAACCACCTGGGCCTAGAGATTTGATATGCAAACTACTTTACAAATTTGACCTTGGAATTTTGGTTCGGTGATTTGAACAAGGAACAAAAAGGTCAACTGTAGTTCATAAATTCTTTGTGGCACTCGAAAAGGAGCTTGACTAACGAGGGATGCAATAGGTTGGTATCGATATTTTAAATTAAACTCAAGTGGTGAACCAAAAAGAACAGTGGTATTCATCGTTAGCATTAATGATCACCGGACTGATGGTAAGATCACAACCATATTGTCCAATGAAGTTGAAATGCATTTTTAACATCACCCAAGTTTGTTCAATGGTCTTGAGCTAATTACTGGAAGAAAAAAACTGAGTCAGTATTTAAAAGAATTAGACAAAGTCTTTTGTTATTGAATGATGGAAGTTACTACTCGCATATCTATTAGAAAATCCATCTAATCTTCTCGTGCATACATACATAAGCAGAAGACAATCCACTATTGGTTGTAATCTTGATATATCAAGTCAAGAGGACAATAAGCGAGCTCCTATCACTGTGAAAGTTGCGGATCTCTTTGCCTCTTCTATCTTCCTTAATAAAGAATTGCTCCACCATTTCAGTAGCTCCCTAGGTTTCTGCACCTTTCTTAAGCTAGATGTTAGGATAACTTCACCAGCCAAGGTCTCCACAAGATGTGGTGCCCGTTGGTATCTGTCCCCTCGTTTTGAGCCTTACACCTCTCAGACCGAACAGAGCCTTATGCCTGAGGCAGCTCCTAACTCAACAAGCACCAAAACCTAAGGGTATAGGGTCCATGTGATGAGGTTATAGTATTAAATCTTTACCCACACAACTAAAAAACTTCCTAAAGTAGAACCAAAGGAAGCTCCGTGATGGTAGTCTTGTACCCACCTTCATTTTATTCATTAGACAATATAATAATGGACTTATTGTTACATAGTAACATACAGGTGATGATCAGCAGTGCTGATAGATAGCATTATTTACCGAAAAAAGATAAGAGAGTCCAAGGTACCAAATCACAAAAATAACACGTGCATACATGTAGCATAATAAATTTACAAAAATAAGTTAATCTTCATCAACATAAAAACAAAAATGTATCAGTAATCAAACATTAAGGTTTTGCGATGGCAACAATAGTCATGACAATACATCAAAGTACATGTCAAGGTTTAGTAAAGTACATGTCAAGGTTTAGTCAATACTGTGCTGTCTGATTTTCTCATTTTCAAAATATCATAATATCAGGAACTGAAGATGAGAGTTAAAAGCTCTAGAATATGTTAATATAGTACTGTTATGATATGAACTATAGACTTCAATATACATAATGTTAGATGGGGGTGGGGTGGCAAGAAAAGGTAACATGAATGCAGAGGCATGATATAATCTTTTTATAAAGGTCTTCCAAAAGAAATTATATAACCTTGGGCATCCAATGCTTTCAGTTACTTATCTTCTCGATTGCAGAATTGCTTGTCGAGGTAACAGTTTCATTTTGTGCAACAATTGTATGAATCATAGTCCATTGCTCTTTTCATTCCAACCATTAATTTTCTCGACTCAAGTCCAGTCATCTCTTGTTCCTCGTAAATAGTTTTCTCATCCTCCACTTGGCCATTAGTCTCGTCATCTAGAAATAAAATCAGGTGCAAGAATATACATTAAGATCAAAAAAATTCAGCTCAAGAGGGAAAAAAACCATATAGCATGAGCAGGACTAAAATTCCTGGTGACTAACTGAAAATATACATAAATAAAAAGGGGAATGGAAAGGAAAAGTTTTCCTGCCTGAGGCACTACCTAGTGAAAATTCTGTGAGACGCTTGACACAATCCTTGAGTGCTTGGAGCTCAGCTTCTTTCTCTTGGAGTTTAGAATGTGTCGAGTGCAGCTCAGTCTCCAGCTCGACTATTTGGCTTTTCTGTTGTTCAATGAGCAAATGAGACAATTTTGTATCCAGTTCAGATGGCACTACTCCATTGAATTGCATTGGATTTGAGTTCTGGTAATCTGCTTGGAGATATTCTTCAGCCAACACTTCAGCCTGCTCATCATGGATCAAATGTTCCTTGTGAAATTCTAGGTTATGAAAAAAGAGATCTTATTTTCCATTTCTAACCACAATATATTTTACGAATATTAGTGACCAACATAAAATTTTTGGAGAATTGTGTATTCGTACAAGTATCAACTGGAAAAACCAATGGATATATCATCACTAGTTTCAAATTCCCCCTTGCATAAATTAACAATAGAATGTGCAAACAATGACAATGCATATTACAGGTCAAGATCTAAACTGTATAGTTTAACTATCTCATGCTATGTTGGGCCTTAGGACCTGTTTGGCATTGACGCTATCATGTTCCTAACAAATGCCAAACCTACGTATTCTAATTCAACAATCACCGAAGTTTCTGTTTTAGCTGAGAAAATTTAAAAATTAGAAACAATCACAAGAAACACCATTTCTTGTTTGCTACATTAACATCCTCTCCAAATGAAACGCAAAAGAATGTGAACTACTTTTTCTTCTTTATATCTGCAATAATAAACCATAAACCAAGTGGCCGAAACTGTCACGTGTCTATTTATCTCAAGGAATGTAAAAAGGGATAATGAATATGAAAGTTTACAGGGCATAACTCACATAATAAATATCTGTTCGTCCTTCACCCGAACCTTCTGTGGTACACCAAGGAAGTTTTTGCAGTTCAGACTCGAGCTCTGCTTCCAGCTGATCCATTTCCAGCACCTCGGGCTGCTGGTCTTGGTCTTCCTTTAGATCCAAACTTGCACCTTCACCTTCCGCGGTTAAAGGAAATGCTTTGACAATATCCCTGCCGTTAGTCAATAATCGTCCACTGTAACTTCCATCAATATGTATTTTATTTGTTGCAGCTTCGTTCTGAGAAATTGAATAATGCAGATGACGGGAGGCTTTCCTTCTAGATATTTCAGCTTTTAATTCTTGTACAACTTTTGTAGTCTCATCCATTGCCGAGTTCAGCCTAATGATTTCAGGCTTTCCACTTGACATCATGTACATTATTCCAACACCAATTCCCCAGCCAAAGGAACCGTCTGAAAAGGAAAGCAAAAAACAAAACAAGAAAAAACTAAGCCTTAAAAGGTAGGTGCCAATAACAAATAGACCGCACAGGTGATATCAGCTACGACATTATATTTTAATATGTGAGAACTATAACCAGTTTTACACTGAAACCAGTGCTTAAAGTTTATTTAAAAAAGAAATATATTAAGCAAGAATGTTGTAGGAATAGAAAAAAATATCATTGGATAATTTCTTATTCCCATATTTTCCTTCTTCCTATCTATGCATTAATCTCTACTTGTGCAAAAGAAGAATGTCATGCCTAGAAGAGTTAAACATGAGCTCAAGGATCTTTCATTGGGAATGATCAGGTCCATATGCTTATTTCGAGTTCAGAATGAAAATTTGAAATCTGCAAAAGACATTACCTAATCAGTATATTTTTTCATTGCAGTTCAGGGAGCACATTGAAGACATAATTCAAATAAATTTGTAGCCTTTCTAACATCTCAATTATTTCCGGCTTACACGAGAGAGTTTATTAGATCAATATACTTATTAGCCCTAAGAAACAAACACTTCACGACACTAATTTGTTCAACTTTATCAGCCAACAGGGAATCTATTAACATGGGTTTGTATAAATAAATTAATGCTCTCACATTTATCTATATATTTACAAGAGAAAAAAAAATACCTTTTGAAGCACAGGATTCACATTTTCCTGGAGCATTTTTTCCCGTTCTTCTCTTCTTCAAGCAAACAGAAAATCTTTTTCCGCTCCAATTCTTCCTCTGACCCACAGACCCGCATCTTCTCTCCATTTTCCCACCACCAATTTTCTTAAATCCACCCCCCATTTTCTTCATCAAGTTCTTAAACTCTGATTCGTGACTTGAAAACCTGAAGATTGATCCACCATTATCTACCACCTCACTCTGAGATTCATTTCCATTTTCTTGGACGGGGGCATTGCTGGGAAACACTGAATCTTGGGTGTGTAAATGTTCACTAAAACTTTGATAATCTTGGATTTTATCAGAGTTTTGAGGATTTTGTTTGGAATCAGAAATGGGTTCATCGGGGTTCATGAATTTCTTGGCTAAAATCCCAGATCCTGCTGCGGCAGCTGCTGCTAAGAGAACTTGCCAAATTTCAAAACTCAAAGGCGGAGACTAGCACAAGGGTACGAAATTTGAAAAGAGTGAAAATGGAAGTCCTGAAATCAGCATTCAAGAGAGAGAGAAGGGAGTGTAATGACTTGTGAGATTCTGAGGGAGAGAGTCCGCTGCTGAACACTGGTCTCGTATTCACGTGACCGTGTCATAATGCACGCGAGCAATGCCATGGGCTTCTTGCTTTTGAACGTATTTTAAATTGGGGGGAAATTTTCACTTTTCAACATTTCTTGCCCTAATTTGCACGCTATTTGACCTATTACTCTTTTATTTTTCTTTTTATTATGCAGCTATTAATGGGTTTTTTTTTTGTTTTTTTTTTTTTAGAAAATGGATTTTGAAATGGAAATATTTTTTATTTACGTATAAAATATTTTATTGTAAAAATATATGTTTGAAAATGAGTATGAGAAAAAATAATTTTTATATTAGCGATTGTCAAACAAGGACTAAAATGAAGATGCCTTGGAAGTTCGTAAGCATTCTAATCATATATGATTTTAACTATTAGGCTATATTTGATAGCCCAATTTTTTTCATGAAAAATGGAAAACAAATTTCAACTACCACTTTTGACCTATTTGATTGACAAAATTTTCGAGGAAATTTATTTTCCCACTTTAGCCACGTCAACATTTCCTTAGTTTTCATGGCTTTTCAATTTGGTTTTCCATTTTTTATTTTTATTTTTATTTTTTTTGGTTTTGGCAGTTGAAACAAATTTGAAGAACAGTTGTAAAATAGAATATCTCTTAAATTGACAATTTTCATGTAAAATAAAGTCAAACAAACACCAAAAGATTGATAATTTTTTGATATTTTTTATTTCTTGAATTTTTTTTTATTTTTTTTTTTTGCAATGGAAACAAATTCTAGAAACAATTGTAAAAGAGGATATTCCTTCAATTGACAATTTTCATAAAGAACAAAGTCAAACGAACACGAAAAGACACTATTATTTCAATATTTTTCAGATGGGAAATTATACCATTCAAATACAATAATTGACAATTCACAGCAAAACAATTTCTAAGCAATTCAATTTCTTAAGATTTGTTTTATTTCCATCTAAATTCTATCTTTACAACCAAACGAACCCTTAATTCTTCAAAGTTCTTGTAACGATAGTATGAAAGGAGATAGTAGTAAAAACCTCAATTGATGGTCTGGAAAAAAAATTATTATTATTATTACTTTTACTAATAACTCGTATCACATAGTCATCTAATTTATTTATTTATTATTATCATTTTTTTTAAAGGTGGGGACTACAATGGATATTTGCCCTAAATAGGTATAGATGGTTATAATCATATTGTTAATTTCATATAGTTCAACAAGTCCATTTCATGATTTTGTCCTTGTTTGAGTTCCATTTTTCAATCAAAATACATTCTTAAACAGTGATTTGACATTATTTCTACCACACATTATTCAATAAAATAATATTACACGCAAATAAATTTTTTTTTTTTTTTTAACCACACATTTCTCATCAATACACTATTCAAAAATTTATTTTCTTCACAAAAATGAGGCTCAAACGAGGGCTTTATGAATACTTTAGTCTCCCTCTCTCTATAAATCAATTTCAAGTCTTGGGATTCATTGGTGCAACTATTGTTACTAGAATTTTCATCGGTATTTTTTTCCCCCAAAAAATTGTTACGAAAAAGCTATTGATTATTTAATTGTCAATCAAAAAGTGATATGAAATTAGACAGTCTGGAGCTGCTGCTTCAACTTATTTTAAACAAAAATAGAGCTGTTGTCTTTGACTGTAGGCCCCACCTGTGAGAGTTGCACTAAAAAATGAACAGTAATAAAAATCATTTTTTTGTCCAAAAAATGGGCTCCAAACAAGGGCTAACCGTTTGGTAACACAACTAGCCATTGAGAAGACACATTGACATGTAGAGTACATCATTAACTCATGTTTGAATCCCATTTTTTTAAATCCATTTTTCTCAAACTCATTTTCAATAACATATTTTCATCTAAAATAATTTTTTCCAATCAAGTCAATTTATTCAACTCGATTGACTTGCCGAGTAGAATCCAAAACACAAATAATCCCTGTGACATAGTGATAACCTTTGTCGAGCTAAAGCTTTGGCCCAACTGGCTTGATCAAAACAAAAGTATGACAAAGTAAAATTCAATGACGCGATCATAATTCTGGTCACCCTGTTGAAACTACATCAAATGTTATAGTGGAAAGAAATTTACTTCCCAAAACCAAGATCAAGATATTCCAAATTCACTTCCTTACTTCCTTATCAACATTAATGGATAAACGTCTATTGTCAAATGAAATAAAATGCAGTGCCCAAATAAAATGCCTTTGGATCACATAACAGTGTACTTCGAACTGTGGATATAGACGTAGTTTTGTCTTTAAGCTAGAAAACGATGTCATCAACACATAATAATATCTAAAATTTCAAACTTAGTATCTGAAGAACAAAATATATAAAAATCCATTCATCTAAGCCAATTCAGTACCTCTCTCCATGCTGCAGAAACTCAGCAACTGCTGAAATCTTCTGAAAATAGGGCAGTCGCTGCCTTTCCAAGATACGGTTTCATTCTTTTATTTTCCTGTCCTCTTGAAAAGCAACAATAAAAAACCCAGATTAGAAATTTGCAAGAAATTACCTTGCAAAGAACAAAGCCTTTCTAAACAATATGTGGACTACAAGTGCCAAAACTTCACACGTAAACTACTAGAAGAGACTAATTTGAAGTGCTCTTAAGCAGTTTAAAGAAATGTTGGAGAACGGTAACTTACTTTTTAAGTTGCCTATAAGTACTCTAAATGCTTATTCTCTGTGCTTACAAAACAATACCGACCACTTCCAAGGCACTTAAGTCAAAATGTGAAAGCCTTGAAAAGCATCTACGTACTCTAGAAGAGGGCCTTAACATCATCCAAATTAGAAGTCTCTTTTGCGCTGTCCATTTTAGAAAGAAACAGTAAAGGGTACCAGAAATCCTCCTATACATCTGCATCGCAGATCAAGCTGCCAGTGTTGATTAACATAACTCCAAACCATTGTCCTACATCTCTACTAACTGGAGCCAGCTATCTTAGAAATCTTAACTGATCATCGCTTTCTTAACTACAAATTTTCTATTACATGACCAGTCCAAAATCATAATTTTATGAGTACAGGAATAGAAATACAGAATCGCTTTTGATGAGATACAGAATCTTATCACTGAAGTATCAACTGCAAAGTTCAATAGCAAGAACCATATGGAAATCCCGGCTGGAAAGAAAGCATTTTAGCCATTGTTCATTCACTCACCAAAAAAAAAAAAAAAAAATGTTTTTGGTGAACAAGTATACCATTTAATTCTCTCCAAGAAAAATAATCTCTTAAAAGTGCTAAATGACTCTTGGGGGATTTTCCTAAAATCTTACATTTAAATTTCATTTCTAAGTTCTAACTTTGTTGGTCCTCAGATTCATAAGTACTTCTCTATCAATCCGCAAATGGGTAAAAATGCAACAAATACAAACGTGTACAAAGTACCTCAAAAACTACAATCATCATGTTGTCTTTACTATCATATAATCCTCCAAATTTTAAACAAACACATGCACACACAACTAATACGTACAAGGCATCTATGGAATCATATTGTGATCTTATGTATAGTCCCCCACCCCCCACAACAATAATCCATAACTCTTGCAGTTCTTAACAAATCAGTGCAATCAATTGCATTCTAAAAAAGCCAATTTTAATTGAAGCTTCAGAAAACGAATGGCCTCAAATTCCCACTGTGGCGCAGGTAAAATATTAATTTCCTATGCTGAAACTCAAAGTTGCTCCTTATCTATTTCATCATTATCTAAGCTGTCTCCTTCCTCGTGGCAGTAAATTTTATTCATGACCTTAAAAGAAACCCGAGATAGACTAGATATAATTAAGCCCTTGTTTGAGCCTCATTCTTTTGGAAAAATTCATTTTTCAATAGTGTTTTGACATCATTTCAACTACACATTCTTTAATAAAATAATATTACATGCAAATCCAAAAATTTTCCTTATTTTTTAACCACACATTTCTCATCAATACACTATTCAAAAATTCATTCTTCCCCAAAAAATGGGGCTCAAACAAGGGCTAAATTTAAGTTAAAAAAAACATAAAGCACGATAAACAAGAAAATTTTGTTCAAGTGAAGTAACCATTACATTAACTGAAATTCTGAAACTTGAACTCTCCTCCACCTATCAATTTCTTTTCCATTTATGTCACACAATGTAATGCTGATGTGTCTTAACTAGCTTACAATAATATAAAAGGCAGCCTATCAGAATAACAATTTAGGACAGATTCCCAACGAAGATCGCTTTAAATAACAGTTCAACAAATTTCCATAAATCTAATCTATATAGAACATCAGTAACTGCTTAATGGAAAAGGCTATTGCGAAACATAAGGCATGACCAGAGAGAGTGCACCCAAAGAAAGGCCATCTTAAGTTATTTACCTAAACTTAGCCCACAATTATTTCTAAAACAAATTATGTCAGACATGCCAAAGAGAGATCTTCATATAATTACATCTCAAATGGCTGCTTTTGCTGCAGCATTGCAATAACATTTAAAAGAAAGCATTAAGTCCCCAGCACTTTTTCCTTCAATAAGAGACCATTACTTCATAAAAGAAATATAAGCATAGTGCTTCACTGATATTAGATGGCAAAATGAGGACAGAAAAAAGAGAGCTTAAATCTCATTAATTGTATTGTACACAATGATCTAATATTATATGTCAAATGTGCACTTAGTGTCTTGTGTTGGTCGCTTCAAACTTGTCAAGTGAATCACTATGGCAAAGCAACTCAAGTTAGTTAAAAGTGTCTGATCACAAGCAACAGAAATTCCTTTGTACAGCAACTTACGCGCACACATGCAAAATACTTTACAAATATTCAGAAATGCAGTGAAGTCATTGTGAAACGTGCTAAAAATAGATAGCGCAGAACTAAGACATCAAATATTATTGGAAAAAACTTCTGAAAAATCAACAGTTCTTCATTGTATCTAACTCTATTGTTCAAGATGAACACATTTCAATCAGTAGCGTCTCAAGAATGAACTAAGAAAAATTCTAACATACCTAATTAATGGTTTCTCAACTGGAGCGCTTATAAGAAACGTGTTGTCTCGCGGCCCTAGCATTTTCATACTCGAACTTCAACACATTAGGGATGTGCGAGGTATCCTTAACATAAAAAAACCTCCCAAATGCGCTCTCTTCAATTTCCGAAAAATAGCAGCGGAGCAAAGAATTCACCACCCAAAACCAGCCTCCACCAAGCACCGCCCCAAGTGCAGCTCCAGCGAAGACCTGAGCCAACGTGTGGTACCCCAAATATACCCTCGAATACATAGTCAAAATCGCCAAAGGCCACACAAGAAGTCCCACAACCCACAATTGCTTCCTGGCCAAAATCCCAATCTTATAATACGTCAAAAGCGTGAAATAAACAGCAAAAAAGAACATGTACTGAGAGTGGCTGGAGGGCCAGCCATGGGAATCACAGATTTCAAGAAGCGCACAGGTTTCGGGCCTAGCCTGCTGCACCAATGTCTTGATAATTTCATTGATGAATTGCGAAATCAACAGACCCAATGCAAAGAACATGCCCTGAAGTTCGCGGCGAAAAATGAAATGAGAAACGAACCCTCCAAGACTAATGAAAACTGGGACAAGAGAAATCCATGCCAGGAAATGACCCAATTGATCTCCTCTTTGGTACCTCACATGGGTCAGTGTCACTGCTTTCAATGGTGAATGAAGAGAAAACATGTTGAAGAGAGAGGACCAAAACCTATAATCAAAATCAATAATCAAGAAGAAGGAAGTATTGAAGCAATCAAGATTATCGAACAATAAGCCAAAGTCAAGAACAAAATTCAAGAATTTAAGGAGGCAATATTCAATATTAAAGATTAAGAAGCCTAACATAAAAAGATTGCTAATAAAGAATTATTCTCAACGAATTAAAGTATGTTCCACATTTAATAATTCTTTTATTGCTTTCACATGGAGGATCTTGACAATAAAATAATTAGGTTTTCAAGTTCTATAGATCTGTTGTTTAACATGAACTTGACAACGACAAGCGCATGTAACTTTCTTTTGAGTGGGTCGAGAAATTTTAGGACGTATTTGAATTTGAACATTTTTTAAAAGCCTTATAAAATACACACCAAATCTCCAAATGGCACCACCCTCGACCTCAAGGCACGCATCCGGCCGACCCTATTGAAACTTGCTAATTCAAAAACTGGATGGTAAAGAGATTCATGACTTAAGAAATGGATGTCCTACGTGAAAATACTTATTACGTATAGTTGGGAAATTTGTAGAAATAGAGCCACAAATTAAAAAAAAAAAAAAAAAAAGAAGAAGAAGAAAAAAAAAAAGCTTATTAACACAAAACATTCATATATTTGACCTTTAGTGTGTAAAACGTTTATACGTTTCAAATTTTTACATTTTCATCCCTATTTACACGTATCATTGTGAAAAATATCATTTTTCATCAATTTTTATCTAATTTCTCAATAAATGTATGTGAAATGACGAATATATCCACCTATTTAAATAAAACAAAAATAAAAATAAAGAACTAATTGTAATCATCATCCCAAACCTTTCTAAAAAATGCAAATGACTCCCAAATAAATTATTAAAAATTCAAAATAAAATAAAATCTCTCTCTCTCTCCCTATCTTCTTCCCCCTCCTCTATCAACCCCACTAAACAATTTCCAACAACATACTCCAACATTTTCCCTATTGGCTGAAAAAACAAAATACAAACTCAAACATTAGAGACTCAATGGAATCGTCACTTTCAACCACCTCAAACTCTACCCTACCGCCACCTAGACCTCCAAACATCACTACCACCGAATACACCTCCATTCCACTATTACTTCCCGCCCATCTATCTGGCCACACACTACCACAAACGACCCTCATCGCTGCCCAAAACTTCTCTTTCACAGACCAAAACCAAGGCAACAACACTATTTCTGGCAACACTTATGCCGTTTACCACCAACTGGTAACATCTACTCCCCAAGGCCATCCCATTCATAGTCCTATAACATCAATATAGGTTCTCAATCAAAATATATTGCCTTGAAAGTTGAGCCATAAGTCTCCAAAATTGACAATTCAAAATTTGAAAAGATGAATCTAATAAGCCGAGCTTCGATGAAATATATCCTTCTAATTCAAATAGCATATCAAAACCAAGGTCTCGCATCAACCGTCCAGAGTTCACCTCAGTTTGTGAAAGAAATGATAAAAAGGGCTTGGTAAATCATACCAAAGCCATATGTTTACTACATATTTATAGGAGCAATATTTACAGATTTGAAACATTCACATCCTCTAATGTAGCAAAATTACAGCAAAATTACAGTAAATAATTCCTACAAATAATCCTATTGCCATGCTGGACATATGGCAGATTTGGAGCATTCATCATTGCTAATATCAATCAACATTGCTAGTACTTTTATGAGAATTGGGAACAGGAATGGAAGGTTGCTGTCTAACACCCCTCCCGGCAAGCCAATGGGGAGGTCACAAACCATGAGCTTGTCCTTCAACAGTTGAAATCGGGAGGATATTAATCCTTTTGTGAAAATGTCACCCACTTGATCCACTGAAGAGATGTACTGAATGCAAACATCACCATTTACCACCTTTTCTCTAATGAAATGAAAATCCACTTCAATATGTTTTGTACGAGTATGATAAACGGGATTGGCAGCGAGTGCAATGGCACTTTGATTATCACACCAAATGGTTGGAGGTGAAGTAAGTGGAATGTTCAAGTCTTTTAGTAACATGCGAATCCAATAAAGTTCAGCAACCACCATCGCAAGAGCTCGATATTCAGCTTCCGTACTAGATCGAGCTACAACACTCTGCTTCTTAGCACACCACGATATTAAGCAAGGGCCAAAGAAAATACCATAGCCGGTAGTAGACCTTCGATCAGATGGGTCACCAGCCCAATCCGAATCACAGTACGCATTTAGAGTTAGAGGACCCTTGCTGAAGTACAAACCATGTTCAACAGTGCCTTTGAGGTAACGCAAGACGCTTAGCAGACTTCCAATGGATATGAGTAGGGGAATGAAGATGTTGGCAGAGTTGATTGACTGAATATGCAATTTCAGGGCAAGTAAGAGTACAATACTGAAGTGCCCCAACTATTTGCCTATAAGTTGTAGCGTCTTCAACTGGTTCATCAGTGCTAGAAGACAATTTTTCACCAGATACACAAGGAGCAGGATATGGTTTGGCCCCAATCATTCTTGATCGATGCAAAATATCTAGGATAAACTTGCTTTGACGTAAATGAAGACCATGACAGTCCCGAGTAGCTTCAATTCCAAGAAAATATCCAAGATTACCTAGAGTTTTGAGTACAAAATCTTGTTGGAGTTGCTTAGTTACTATTTGAATGAATTGGGAACATGAGCCAGTAATCAATAAGTCATCAACATAGATTAATATAAAAACATGTATCTGCCCATGGTGATAAGTAAATAAAGAGTTGTCAACTGAAGAACCTTGAAAACCAAGATCTAGTAGGCAATTTGAGAGTTTGAGGAACTAAGCTCTTGGGGCTTGCTTGAGCCCATAAAGTGCCTTTTTAAGGCGACAGACATGATGAGGTGCAGTAGGGTCAACGAATCCCTGTGGTTGTTCAATATAAACGTCTTCTTCGAGATTTCCATGAAGGAAAGCATTGGAAACATCATATTGTAAAATGGGCCAGCCAAAAGAAACAGCGAGACAAAGAACCATACGTACAGTTGCTGGTTTTATTACCGGACTGAAAGTTTCGGTAAAATCGACACCATCTATTTGTTGAAAACATTTAGCAACTAGTCTCGCCTTGTAACGGTCAACACTTCCATCCGCCTTTTGCTTAATTTTGTACACCCATTTGGTACGGATGATGTTATGATCAACAGGATGAGGGACAATATCCCAAGTATCATTGGCTATTAGTGCATCATATTCCTGTTGCATAGCTTCCTGCCACTCCTGAGATAAAGCAGCTTGGGAAAAAGCAGTAGGCTCAACAATATTAAGCACACTATGATATGCACGTACAGGATGATTAGATGCATAAAATGTATAAAACCAGGGAATTGCTTGGGTCGAATAGAACCAGTTTGGGATCGGGTTACCATTTGATGTTGAGTTGGATTGGGTATAGGAGGGCGTTCAGTTTCTGACTCATCAGAGGTTAGGTGGGTCTCGATAGTTGGAGAAGGACTAAAGTCAGGTATGTGTTCAGTGGTGTTAGATGAAGAAGTAGCTAGTAATGGCAATTCTTCTTCATGTGGTTGGTGTGACAATATATTGAGTTGAGAGTAAAAGGGTGCAAGATCAGATAAAATACCTGGCACGGTGGCATTTGAAGTAGCAGAGCAAGTAGAGGAGGTCCATCCTTTTGCTGGAAAGTTTTGTTCATCAAAGGCTACATTACGAGATATGTACACTTTATTAGAGACAGGGTCTAAATATCGATAGCCTCGATGGTGAGAAGAGTATCCAATAAAAATACATTGTTTACTCCTAAAAGCTAGTTTATGACTCGTGTAGGGTCTCAATAAAGGATAACAGGCACATCCAAAAGTTCTCATGAAAGAATAATTTGGGTTTTCCTCAAACAATTTTGCATATGGAGATGCATTTTTCAAAACAGGTGTGGGTACTCGGTTAATGAGGTAAATGGCTGTCATGAAGGCATCGACCCAGAATTTTGTAGGTAAATGTGATTGACTTAAAAGTGAGAGTCCAACTTCCATAATGTGTCGATGTTTTCGTTCAGCCAAACCATTTTGTTGAGAGGTATATGGACATGATAGGCGTTGATGGATACCATTTTTGCGAAGAAAAGATTGGAATTGGTTTGAGAGATATTCACCACCATTATCACATTGAAATTCTTTAATTGTTGAAGAGAAACGGTTTTCAACTTGGGCCTTAAATTGCATAAAACATGAGAGCACTTCGGATTTATTTTTAAGTGGGTACAACCAAGTAAATCTAGAGTAATCGTCAATGAAGATAACATAATAACGATGACCATCAGAAGATGGTGTAGGAGAGACCCAAACATCAGAATGAATAAGTTTGAGTTTTGATAACGTGATACGGGAAGACTCATTGAAAGGTAATTTTTTTGCTTTTCCCAATAAACAAGATTCACAAACAGACTCAATATTAAAGGATCCAGAAATAGGCAATTCAAAATTCTTGACTACATTTTTTGTGACTTGAAAAGATGGATGACCCAATCTCGAATGCCAACCATTAAGTGTAATTCGAACACTTAAGAGAGCAGCATGAGACCGAAATTTATTGATAGATTTTCGATCAACTTGAATAGGATAGAGACTTCCTTCACTCCTCCCTACTAGCAACGTTCGTCCCGTGCAGTTGTCCTTAACAAGAAATTGAGAATCG